TTTGGGTGAATTTAGTTTGATCTGCTTTAGTCTTAAGAGACCTAGGATCCAAGGAAGGGTTCACGCTGAAGCAATTTGGTAACACTACCCTGGTATTAGCAAGCTGCTTCTGTCCATTGCCAGGAGGCTGTGGTCCACTGGTAGATATTAAAAGAATTGAAGAGTAAAAAAACACCTCTAAAAATGTGCCACCTTTGGAACAGAGTTCATGTGGTAGAAGAGACTAAAGAGAAATCCACCAGGCTTCCAATTTGGAAATTTCAAAAGTCACAATCATAGGAAAGACTGAAACTATGGAGTTCAGAGGGGTCACTCCATCTCTATTAGAGGGGGCATAATTCTTTCTTTTTTAACACACGGGCGAAGCAATACTTACTTCAAAGAAAATAACGGCCATAAATACAGAAACTGTCATCCTTAGATGAAATGGCCTTCACAGAAATCAACAACTCACTAGCAGAACACTCGAGAAGTTTCCTGGGTAGATGCGTACTTTATCTGAATCCCATGAACACGCTAAACGCCCTCATAAATCACACCCTCAGATCTTCTGTCTCAATCTATAATCCATCATAACCCCTGGGGGATATGTACCTCCACCCACAAAACCCTCTTGTTATTTGGAAATTATTTTGGACTATTAGACATATAAATGTTTACCCCTAAGATACCTTCCTCTAATACCAAGAAAGGAAGAAACTGGTTATGGGTCTTTGTGGATAGATGACAGCCGAAAAATTATGTATCTTTAAAACCAAAAAGACAAATCAAGAGACCTAGAAAGAAGAAAAAAATATCAGCTCTTAAGAAGAACGGTGACAAGCAGAGGCAAACCATCTGAATCTAGTTTTGGAGAGCTGAGTAGAGTGGCAACCAAACTCTGGGAAACGCACTGGGTTTTCTCCGCTAAGAGCTACCAGTGTGATGTCTAAATCATCACCAGCCACTGCAGTTTAGAAAAGGTTAATGCCTGGACCCCTTCTTGCTGAATCTCTATGGCTTTCATGCTAGCCTAAAAGCCAAAGAACAAGGCTCACTGGCTGTCTCTGCCAGCCCTCCCACATTCCGCTCTCTCCCTTCCTGTGCTCTCAGCTCAGTAAGCAGCCCACCCGCAGCATCTTCCCTCTTTGATCTTGCCAAGGCCTTTTTCCCACCATTCCTCAAACAATTACCCAAGCGGGTTTCCACTCCGGATCATCATAAGACAGCAGCCAGCCAGAAGCCTGGGCTGCCTCGAGCCCTGTGAGAGGATATGCCAGGCATCCCTTGAAACTCCCCAGCAAGGTCAAATTGGTAGGGGGTGGGGAGGGCCTCTCTGAATGGGAGAATACCATGGTAGCTGTAGGACACAGAGCTCTTTTAACTTGGGAGTTTAATGAGCCTCCACTTCAATAAGACCTACGTGTCCCGAAAGATAAGGGCAAGGATGGAAAGGCACCATTTACCTCGGCTGGGCTGCCGCTGCCTATGCTGCAGGCTGGTTCAAGACCTGGATCTGAGCGACTCACCAAAGCAAATGGGTCTGTTTTTTAGTTAGAGTGCAACCCCATCCCTAGCAAGACACCTTCCTGGCTGCCAGCAGGGCAGGGTCAATGAAAGAATGTGCTTTGAAAGTAGAAGAGAAAGGAAGCTGGGATTCTAGGAGAAAGTTCTCTGTATGCCCGAGGCAATATTTCTGTGTGGAGCATAGAGCACAGTGATTGTGGAGAACCCCTGGCAAGAGACCTAATGGGATTAGAAAGAGGGAATGAATTTCAAGAAAAGCATTTCAATGAGGTCTTCTTAGAGAGGAAGACATAGATAAGGTAGACAGATAGATAAATAATATAGTTCTTAGACCATTACAGTAGTCATAATCTTCCCCTGACCTCTTAATGCAACTAGAACTAGTGACCTGAGTGAGAAAGCTGAGAAAAATACTTCCATGACAAAAGGCCTAATTCAAGAAAGGTTCCCTAAATTCACTCTGGCTAAGCTGGCTAGAAGAGGTTTTCCTTGGAAGAACTTCCAACACCAGAGAAAAAAGGAAAATTCATGGTGCCATTTTTAAGCCATCACTAAACCATCTGTTTATGAAGAACACAGGCAGGTCACTGCCTCCCTTGAGCCATCTGTGACAGAGGGATGACTCTTTGGTAAATATCCTTCTTGGTTTAGAAATGTTTGCTGATAGTGTGACGACATCACAATAATGACTCCTTCCTAGATCTGGTCAAGACCTATCGATTTATCTCAAATACCTCTCTCATTTGCCATACTTAGAAACTTTACCCCAGAAAAAGTGAGGCTGGATGGGGACTCAGTCACAGTAGAGAAACAAATTGAAAAATTTCAATTAGCAATTCCTGTATTTGAGGGTAACTGAAATTGTTTCAGGGGAGACAGGATGAATACCACCCAGGAGCCAATCTAGCTCTGATAAGCTGCTAAAACAAAAAGGGAGATGAGAACCAGTGTATTTTCCCTGAAATGTGGTCTTGCAAGTCTTTTTACGTGTTAGACGTGATCCAGCTTGAGAGTCCAGAAGACATTACGTGGTCTCTGAGATTCTGCTGGGTGGAGGGCGTTAAGCCTGTTCTCCCAGTCAAAGGTTCCACCTCCTTTAGCAACAGCAACTCTAAATTTCCCAACAATTGGACTCCAGGAGAAAGTCCAAGTTTTAAGAAGGCTAAAAATTGAACAATAATCAATGAGCTCATTGTGATATTGGATCACTAGAAACCATCATTCAATCCCAGCCCAATATTTAGAACTTCTTTCGATTGTAAAGCTACATTTTGGGGAGCAGGCTCCCGGAAAACTGTTAAGAAATCTCTGGAACACAAGCCCAGAAAAGCCTCAGATGTCTGAAGCCAGATATCTATTTCAGACAACTTTTTTGGTGAGAGTTGCTCAGTGGGAACATGAACATCTTTTCTCTAAGTGTACACTATTTTCATGATTAATAACCAACTATCACTGTTCCCTCAGCCACTGCAAACAAAGATGGTTGCAGAGACTCTGTCCCCATTTATCTACAACTAGCTGGGTATCCTTTCCTGAGGGGGCCGCAGAGCTGTCTATACACCCGACACTCAAAGCAGTCTGGACAAGTTCTCATAGTCTTTTGAAAAGAAGGGTCCGATTTTTTAAAAATTACAAAATGCAGAGGTTACTAAATCTGAACAAGGGCCCACATTTTCTTTTTGGGAATTGAACCAAAGGATGATTCAGACAGGGAGACAGGCAGCAGGATTTAGGGAATGAAGAGTCACGAGATAACCAGTTTTATTCCTGGCTCTACCCAAGACTTGCCATGTGACCACCAGCAAGTTACTCCTTCCCAGCAGGTCTGCCAGCCTGCCTTTCTCTACAAGAAGCCAATCTCACTCTGTCCTGTAATTTTCTTTGGAATTTCTTTGCAAAAAATAGGAGGGAAGGAAGGGAATCTGTGAGGTGTAACAAAATGAGTGTGCCCATAACCTCCTTAGACCCCGACATCAGGCAAATTCAAGGCTTCCTCATTTTACATTCTGCAACTTAGCACAGTTCTGATTTAGACGACTGAGGAAGCAGGACTGTCACATGATTTTATACCACCTGAAGGTAACACTTAAGCTAATCAGTCTAAAGGCTATCATACATTAGATGGCATTACCTCCTGGTAGAGTATGAACAGACAACCCAATTCCAACAAGCCTTTGAATAGGCAAAAAAAGAAAGCAGAGGAAATTGGTAAGTCAGGAGATCTCCCGGAGCTAGACTTGTTCTTACTGAGGGAAAGGATGCAGGGAATGAATGAAGGCAGGAAAGATACATCACATACAATAGCCAGATTGCTGTTTGGATACTAATACTCTTCTTTTGTCTTAAGTTTATAAAGCTTTCAATGTATTACGATAAAGGCTATTTTTCCCTTAAAACAATTCCAATTTTAGATTAGAAGTTAGTGCAACGTGAAGTTATCTTTACCAAGTTATACTTCAGCATCAATTTGTGTGGGAATGTACCCTTCCCCTAAGCGCAGAACCCATACGAGTCAGTAGTATCTCCATGCAATGGCAATGGACATCAAAATTCATGAAAGTCAAGCCAGCAGCAGAGTTCCCTCTATTCCACGTGGACACAGCTTAGTGCTGCAATCAAGTAACATCCACATCCAGACTAATCCGATACATAGATTAATCAAATGCTTAATAGTTTGGGGGCCTTTGTTTTTGTCAAGGGAAGACTCCATCTTCTCATACAAATAACTGACAAGTTCATCTCACCGTATAACCACATTCTAGAAACTAGCCACCAAGAGCCACGGCTCCCAGCCAATGCATTCTTCTAACATAAACTGTAAACTGGCCCTGAGTCCCATCTTATTTCCGACCTCCCTAGACTGCTTCTATCCCCAAACCAATCAGCCAACTAAGTCCAGCGGCAAACAGTATGGTCATCAGGATTTATTTTTGACTTGAGAATGCACTGACTTCCCACTGAACGTGGAGTAGACAGGGGCTGTTCTGAATTCAGGATCCTTGTGGTACTACTGGGAATCATTTTCTAGTCCTTCCAAAATAAAGCTTTACAAGCACTATAAGGGCAGAAGTTAACATAGGTACATATTAATACATCTGTCTATCTACGTACATACACACGCACACACACACACACACACACACACACACACATATATATATCGTTCACAAGCTTAAGGTTGGCCTGGATATACAGTAAGAGCATGGAGTGTGAGGGCAGTTAGCTTAGTATATGAATGAGCATATGGAAATTGCTCCTTGACCCTGGTGATTTCCTATTCTAGAGCAAAAAGAAAAGAAGCTGCAGAGAAGAGAAAAGAAATCAAAGTCCACTCATATCAGCACATAATCCTGAAGCAGTAAATAGCATCTCCCTGTTAGGGATCACGCAGCTGCCAGTTCACCAAAATGAAAAGCAATGAATGCCCTTTGACTTCCCAGCTCTCCCACCCCCTCCCCCCCAGGTTCATATGCTACCTGAAGAAACCACCATACCTCTTCTTCCAGCTTCACCACCTTGGCCTGGGCATTGCTCAGAGCCTGGTCTCGGATTTCGATGTGTCGCCTTTGGTCCTCGTTGGTCGAACGGGCAGTGGCCAGCTCTGCTTCCAGCTTCTCCTTTTCCCGCTGGCTTTCTTTATCTGTCAGAACAGGAACAATCAACACTGCCCAGCTGGAGCCAGCTCAAAGCCTCACTGTGCACAAGTGACAAGTCATACCCATTGCTACACAGCCTACTGTTGTGGTGCACAGCTAAAAGAACCCGAGTGACCAAGATCTGGACTCTATCACCGGCTTTACTAGTACCTTGCTATGTAAATGCAGAAAAGTCACTTAACAACACCTTAATGGTTGTTATACAGAAGCAAGGAGAAAGTAGAAGGGTCAGGCAATCATTCAGCGTTGCACAAAGAGAAGGCACACACATACACATCAGAAGAGAAGGTGGGCTTGTCTCCTCAATTTTATTTTTCATCCTCTTACATCGGCAGAAGGGCAAGGGAGCTCTAAAAAAATTAGGACAGCATATGAACTCAATCTAAAAACATTTCATAAAAATGGCTGCTATCTCAACTCTCACCCTCTGATACACTGACGTTATTTTCTAAGATGAAGTCCATTTGACACCATGTCCTCTCCAGGGAAGGCCTTACCCAGTATCACCCCCTCACCCAACCCTTTTAGCTCAGCACCTACTTTTCGTGAAAACCCAATGTTTGCAGAAAGAGAGTCACATAAAATGGGAAAGTGGCGCTTTTTTCTACTCTAGCCTGCAGTATAGGCTGGGTGCAGAGGGAGTGCTGGAAAGAACGAGGCAGAGTTCGAAGGAAAACATCAGGTTCAGAAGAATAGAGGCAGACATTCTGCCTGAAAAAAAAAATACCCGCTATTTGGGAATCTACTTTTCTGCTAAGTTAGCAGTTAAGCCTATTAGGGTTCGAAAGTTTAGATAAATTTTTTTAAGTCATCTGACATGCTTGTGTGCTTACATCACACACACATTTATGTGGGTATACACATATACACATACAAATATATATATGCACATGTATGTGTATGTGTGTGTGCATAGCTGTAATCTATGAGTTTAGAATAGAAGAGCTTACTGGACAGATAATAGTCTTTCTGGCTTTGGTTTTATAGAAAGCTCAGTTAAGTAGCCCTATATAATGAGAATCCAATAAGTATTTATGGATGGATATAGGGGTTAAGGAGAAGGAAAAAGCCCCAGTGTGAGACAGTAGCCAAATCTATAATTTTTTGGAGAATGAAGGGACATTATCACAAGTTAGTGTCTGAATAAGTTAACATGGATTTCTAAGTAGTGTCTAAACAGATTGTATACTTTGGTCCAGATACTATTTTTATCCTAGTCTGGCCTCCTGTAGTGGCTGTACCTTGTTCCGGTACTCACAGCTGATCAGAACCCTGAAATATTGCACCTGGAGTCATTATCACCAAATCCTGATGAGCTAATGCTCATTCCTCCCACTGGAATACCCTAAAGATCTAAAAGGAGGACCAAGCAATGGAATCTTTAAAGTGGTCAAAGGCCCATCTAGCAGACATCTAAAAAAAGTAGGACCAAGCAATGGAATGTCTGCTAGGTGGGCCTTTGTGCTTCCAGCAGGGAGACAGAAAAAGAAGCCATTATGAAATATGCCAGAACATTCTACTCTTTTTTTTTTTTTTTGAGACAGAGCCTCAAGCTATCCCCCTGGGTAGAGTGCTATGGCATCACAGCTCACAGCAACCTCCAACTCCTGGGCTCAAGCGAGTCTCCTGCCTCAGCCTCCCAAGTAGCTGGGACTACAGGCGCCCAAAACAACGCCCAGCCATTTTTTGGTTGCAGCCATCATTGTTGTTTGGTGGGCCCGGGCTGGGGATTTGAACCCGCCACCTTAGGTGTATGTGGCTGGCGCCTTAGCCACTTGAGCCACAGGCGCCGAGCCAGAACATTCTACTCTTAACAAGGCTGCCCTCAAGAGAAACTATTTAACCAGAGCCTAATCTATTGGCCTTTCCCCCCACCCCCAGAACCTAACCGACCTGGAGAAAGGGAAATAACCAACTCCAGCCTGCTCTAGCTTCCACAGGAGAGAAGACAATGCCCTCTCTAGCCTTCCTGTAGCACCTAAGGGAGTAAAAAAACAATTGAGACCCATTTTGAAGTTCACACACCAGAGACAAAGGCTCACTAAAAGACCGAGAGGTAATCAGAGGACTACAGAGCACTTCCCCTACCCTACACCTTACCACCACATCCCTAAAGGTCCACTTACTGAGGCTGCTTCTCCTCCATACATCAAATCTGCTATTCCACAAAGAAAAAAACCAATGAACAACACTAAAAGTTTTGCCTATACTAAAAGGCAAAAACACAATTTGAAAGGATAGAACAACCTGGGCAGTCGCGAGACTTCATCTCTACCAAAAAAAAAAAAAAAATCTTTAAAAAAACTATTAGCCAGGCATGATAGTGTAATCCCATAGTCCCTGACACTCAGGAGGCTGAGGCGGGAGGATTGCTTGAGCCCAGGTGTTTGAGGTTGCAGTGAGCTATGATCATGCCATTGCAATCGTGTTCAAGGAATAGCGCGAGACTCTGGCTCAGAAAAAGGAAGAAAAAAAAGGTCAGTGCAAACATCAAAACGAGGCCCAGATAAAGCAGAGATGTGGGAATGATCAGACCATGAGTGTAATTCACCTACAATGAATATGCTAAGGGCTCTAATCTACTTACTTAATATTATAAGGGCTCCAAGGAGAAAAGTAGACAGCACACAACAACAGGTGACTAAGACATGCAGACAAAGAGCTTTAGGAAAAAATCCAAGAATGCTGGAGGTGAAAACAGAGGTAACAATACCATCTTATTTAACCTCATACTATTTTTAAGGATCAAATGAGAAAACAGATTTAAGTGAAAGAAATAGTAGAAAGCACGGACACCAAAGGAATTTACCACAGAGAGGATGGTGACCGTCATCTCCATGACTCACAGTAAGAGAGAATCTGTAGCCTCATAATAAGCCTTTCATCGGGACAGCCTGCCTCTGGGGACCTAGAAATTTACGTTCATCAAAGAAACTTCCATAGAGCAGCCTCGCCTTCTTTCCCATTCTGACTTTATGTTTGGAAAGAAACGCACATTTGCTGAATACATATTGCATACCAGGTATTGTTCTAAGTTAATCTGCGGAACAACCACACAAGGAAGACACTAGTTTCTTCTCCATTTTGCATATGAGACAGCAGGGCCTCGGAGAGCTTAACTGACTTGCGCAAGGTCCCACACTTGGTAAATAAGTGGCGGAGATCCTATTGAAGCCTAGGTTGTTCTAAACTCTTATCTCCTGCACCAGACGGCCTCCTCCTAGGGCTGAATTGGTTTGGTGACTCCAGGGTTGCTGAAGCACATTCCTCAGAGAGGCTTTTAAAGAGGGCTTTCTTTTCTCCTGCCACAGATCCACCCATGTGGGACCCTGTCAATGTCCAAAGACAAAAGAAATCAAGGGGGCCAAGAGCCATGCCCTCTTCCCTGCCTAGCTGGAGCTCACATTTTCTTCCTAGAATCATTTGACCATCTTTTTACCCTGCTGGTAATATAAGTCGATCTACTAAGTCATCACCTTTTATAAACCGGTAGCAGAGCTCCTAGGACACCTGAATACCACCTGCACAAGACAGGAGTCCTATCTCTCAGATCCAGGGTAGGAATCCGTATGTTTTGTTGTGATTTGTCCTGGAAGGCTGTCACCCTCTTTCTGCCAGTGAACTAGCTTCCAGGGTAACCGTGATACCACAAAAGCAATTTCACAACAATGTCCACTAGGCACTGATGACACCAGAGTAATGGTATTCCTTGCCTTAAGACAACGATGTCAGAAGAACAGGAGGTGCAGGTGGAAAAAGGAAGGAAAAAGAAACCCCTATGCTAAAGCCAGGGCATGACAGAGCAACCCGGAAAGGAGGACGATACTGTAAGTAAAGATCCAACAAACCTGTACAAGTGAAAAGTGGAAGCTGCAATGGAAAGACTTGAAGGGTGACTTGGAGGCCCAGCAAAGATGGAGGAGACTGACATGTCCCCACCAAGCACAACTATAGCCAGAGCTACCCCGAGGGAGGCTGGGCTGTGGGCATGTGCAGAAATGAAGGCAGTCCATCTGTTCCTCCCCTCTGTAAATAATTCTCCCTGCGGACTCAATCCACTAAGAAGTTTTTATTGCTGGTTTTATGATGGCAAATGGAAAGAATTAGGCATTGTCTAGCTGGGTGGAGTTCATTAGGGACCGATAAAGAAGAGGATTAATTCATTGTCATGGTCCTAGGAGTATTTCCAGACAAAGGAAACACTATTGTGGGGAAGACACAGCTCTGCCCTCCCCCACACTCTTTAACTCTGCAACCAGAGTCAGCAATTCAGGCAACACAGGAATGGCTTCCCTCTAGCCAACCATGCAATATGCCAATGTATAAGGATGTTGTTTAATACTCGGGGTTTAACTAAGGGAGCCTCAGGCACAGGTTAGGTACTCCAAACACTACTCATCAATCGTACATGTTAATTTCATCTCTACTGGAGCCAGTGCCTGGACCCTTCTGAGAAAATCCCTTCACCTTTAACTTTAAGGCACCCTGTGTTCCGTAGGACCCTTTATTCAACTAGCCGTGACAATAGCTGGGACTTTAAGGGGCTTCTCTGTTTAACACCGAAGGAGCTGTTTGATGTTACTAGATGTTGTAGTAAGCAGCTCTCTTAGGAGGAAAAGAATGGGACCTTCCAACTTCATGTCTGAAAGGGAAAAAGAATCCCGAGGTGACATTCACTCTGCCCTCATGGTTCTAGAAGGCTCAAGAGGACTGTGCAACCTTTTCACACACCTCGCTCCCACCCATTCATACCTGCTTTAGAGGTTTGCAGACTTACTTTTTGCGAAGAGATGAGAGATGGTTTTTCTGGTGTCCTCGGAGCCCTCGTACTCTTTCTCTGCAAGCTGCTTGTTGGCAGTCTCTAGGCGCTCTGTGGAATTTGGAGACAATCAACAAGGACCTCAAATTCAAACTTTCAAGCACCTGCTGTTTGCCCTCTAAATACTGACCTTTGGCAAAACAAGCCTGCGTCTTCCTGTTAAACAGGAATGGGTGACACAGACAAGGGTTTGCAAATATGAATTCCCAAGCAATGCTAGACCACGGCAGGGAAAGACAAGGTAAGAACTTAACAACTTCTACTCCTTACTCCCAAAACCTAAACGCAGAATTCTAAATTTCAACAAAATAATCCAACCCTGAACGTAGGATGCTATATTTATTAACCAGGAAAAAGAACATCACGGTCACCATTATACTGTGAAGTCTTTAATATACTGGAATGTCAAATCTAGAAGGGAACCCTGAGCAGCATCTAGTTGTACCCCCTGGTTTTATAGACAATGTAACCAAAATCTAAAGACAGAAAATATCCCGAAGATCACCACTTTGGAAGGAGCTGAAGATGGTTTAAAGTAGAACCATTTCCCACTGTTTTCAATATTATCAAGTGAAGGTAAAAAATAAGAGGGAGTGGCTTGGCGCCTGTGGCTCAAGCGGCTAAGGCGCAAGCCACGTACACCTAAGGTGGCGGGTTCAAATCCCCAGCCCGGGCCCGCCAAACAACAATGATGATGGCTGCAACCAAAAAATGGCCAG